CCTCACAACTAGCCCTCCTTAGGCACTGGAAATTGCAGACCCACGTCCCTCCAACAATCAGTACAATAGTTAAAATAATAACAAATCTTGCCTTCTCCACATATACTCCTGCAAGGCTTTCACAGCCTGACCTAGTTCTCTACCACGAAGGAAATGTTACCAGATGTATGCTAAGGACTTTCCACTCTCCTCCTAGGGTAACAGGATGACATACACAATGTGTTTCAATCTAAAAGTATTGCTTGAAATAAATAAACAAACAAACAAAATAAACAAAAACTCATAGATACAAACAACAATATGGTGGTCACCAGAGAGAAAGGAGGTGGAGGGTAGTAAAGGGTCAAATGGATCAAATATGTGGTGACAGAAGAAGATTTGACTTTGGGTGGTGGACACACAATGCAACATTAGATGGTGTATCATAGAATTGTACATTTGAAACCTATATCATTTTATTAGCCAATGTCACCCTAATAAATTTAATAAAATGTAAAACTACTACTTGAGCACCTGGGTGCCTAACCCTTTGCTAAATATAGATACCCTATACCTATAAATCCTTTGGTATCCTTACTATCCTTATAGGATAATACTTTAAGAGGATTTAATTCCCAACACAACGGGATCTAAAAAAAAAAAAAAAAATAGTTGGAGAGACAAGTACAGGTACTGGTGACCAGAGAATAAAAAGATGCATGTGGCGTGTGTTCTGACTATACATACTGTCCTACTTGGACAGCTGCCCAACTGAACTGGCCAGGAAATTCCCCTGCCCTGGTACCGCTATTGGGAATATCTCTCCATCCTGTCTCTCTTTCTATCTTACCATAGCAAAAGCCAAATTGCTCCTCTCCACCCATATCTTCTTTTAATTGTTCTTTTTTTTTTTCTTTATTGATTTGAGAGAGAGAGAAAGGGAGAGGGAGAGAGAGACAGAAACATCGATGAGAGAGAACATCGACTGGCCGCCTCCTGCATGCCCCCTACTGGATATCTGGCCCACATCCTGGGCATGTGCCTTGATGGGGAATCAAACCGGTGTCCTCTCGGCGCACGGGTCAACGATCAACCATTGAGCTACAATGGCCAGGCCCTTTAACTGTTCTATTACTCCAATGACATAAGATGAGGACTGTATAATAATTGGGCAGAGTAAGCCACAGTGGAGAGAAAGAAAAAATGATTCCCTCTGTGCTCCTCTGCTGGAGACAATGGGTGACTGATGGATGGATGAAAAGAAGAGGAAGGACAAACATCAAGAATCTGTGGGCGAGTACCTTCTCTTCTAGGTTGTCTGCCTCTCACAGGGAAGGATAGGATTATCTTATCCCCTTCTATTCTCCAAGAAACCCCAGTTTTCTTCTCCACAACTGCCATTGTCTTACCCCTCTAGCATCTGAATCTCATTTGAAAGCCTCCCAATATCCCAAATCACACCAAAATACAACTTAGTTCTTTAAATCCTCTTCTCACTGTGTACTCAACAAACTCGCTCTACCAAGATCAAGAGAACAATTGTAAAGGCTTAGAACCAGGGAATTCCTTACTCCATACTCCAGGCAGCAGGTTACATTTCTTGGCATTCTAAGTTGGAACCCTAAATTCACAGAATTTTTGCTTAAAATGTCAGTTAAATTGTGCTATATACTTCAGAGTCCAGGCTAACATATTATCCTTTAGGATTAGAGACTCTCAAACTCTGGTATCAGGACTCTTTTACACTCTTAAATATTACTGAGGAACCTAAAGAGCTTTTTTTTTTTACAAGTGGATTATATCCTCGGGAATTTTTTAAAAAAATATTTTTACTGATTTTAGAAAAAGAAAGAGAGAGAATTATTGATGCAAGAGTGGAGCATCAATCAGCAGCCTCGTGCACACGCCCTACTGGGGACTGAGCCCCACAGCCCCAGGCATGTGCCCTGATCAGGAATCGAACCAGTAACCCTTTGGTGCACGGGATGACACCCAACCAACTGAGCCAAACCGGCCAGGGCTGAGCCACAATGGCCAGGAAATTGTTTGAATTAGAAATTAAAGCTGAAAAACTTTTAAATAATTTTATCAGTTTATTTTAAAATAGCATGGTTTATTACATTTACGTGAATAACATTTTAAAGAAAAATAACACTATTCTCCAAAACAAAAATATGAGTATTATAAGTATAAATATATATTTAGTGAAAGAGTAGCACTGTTTTGCAAATTAAAATAATGTAGTAAGCTAAACACTTGATAATTTATAAATAAAGTCATGTCAACAGTTATGGAATTCACATGGCTAAACCTGATAAATTGAAAAAAAGTTGAGAATATAACATATTCACAGGTCAGAGGTTGATGGTCTCCAAAAAGTAATGTAAGCCCCAAACCCAGGGCCAAGGTCAGGAAAAGACATGTTTTGTGACTGGAGCCAACAAGAATGTACACCAAGGGTTTTATTGTATTTATTCTTTTAATCCTCACCTGAAGCCCTGGCTGGTTTGGCTCAGCGGTTAGAGCATCGGCCTGTGGACCAGAGAGTCCCAGGTTCGGTTCCCACTAAGGGCACATACCTCGGCTGTAGTTTGTCCCTGCCCTGGTTGGGGTCATCTGGGTGGCAGCCACTCGATGTGTCTCTCTCACATCAATGTTTCTCTCTCTCTCTCTTTCACCTTCTCTCCCTTACGCTCTATCTGAAGATGAATGCAAGAATGTCCTCAAACGAGGATTAAAAACAAATCCTCACCTGAGGATATTTTTCCACTGATTTTTAGATAGAGTGGGAGGGACAGAGGGAGAAAGAGCAAGAGAAACACAGATGTGAGAGAGACACATTGATTGGTTGCCTCCTGCATGACCCCAACCAGGGCCAGAGATAAAACCACAACCTAGGTACATTCCTTGACCAGAATCAAACCAAGACTCTTTGATCTACAGGCTTACACTCTAACTGCTGAGCCAAACCAGCCAGGGCATACACCAAGGGTTTTAAAAGGCAAGGTCCATGGAAGTCAGGCAAGTAACACAAATAAGAGTCAACCAGCTGGGACTTAAAAGAGTTCAAGACCTTGTTAGAGGCAGCAAGCCCAGTGTTGCCAGATTTTCAGGCTGTTAAAGAAATTTTTCATTTTTTTTTTGGCTGTGGCTGGTGTTGCTCAGTGATTAGAACATCAGTCCAGGCACCAAAGGGTCAAGGGTTCAATTCACAGTCAACGGTGTATACCTGGGTTGCAGGTTCGATCCCCAGTTGGTGTGTGTTCAGGAAGCAACTGATGGATATGTTTCTCTCATATTGATGTTTCTCTCTCTCTCCCCCTCCCTCCCTTTCTTTCTCTCTAAACATCAATGAGAAAAATATCCTAGAGTGACAATTAACAACAACAAAATCTGCATTTTTAATGAAAATCTGCAAATATGAATTTGTATATAACTCCTGATTTTTAAGTACTGAAACTGTAGGCCAGCAAAACACATCTATAGGTAAATGTAGCCTATGGCACCCCCAGTTTGCAACATTTATTCTATATATTACAAACAGAATTATCTAATCTTTAGGAAATTCTTCCCAAAGGAAATTTTTCCTACAGTATGATCCTAATATTAGATCACCAAAAAAGAGCAAACTTAAAATATAATCAATGAAACAAAAGGTTGTCAAAACAACCAAAGAAAAATAAAAGTTGTGATGTTATGGGAATAAACAACAGACTGTCTAGTGGACAAGGATGTCTGTTACTAGGAAACTGCACTTTATACGGCAGTCCATGGAGATAGCTCATCATGCTCTACCATTGTCTGGAGAAATACTCTTCATAACGTCCAACTCCCAGACTTACAAATCACCTTTCTAAAAGGTGAGGGAGCTCAAAGCACAGGAAAAAAGCTAAACAGTACCAGCATTACAAAACTAATGCTGTATCTAAGTTGTATTTTCGGCACAGTGATAAACAGAGATTCTCTTTTCTCGTATTAAAAAAAGTTTATTTTCCCTGGCCAGTTTGGCTCAGTGGTTGGACCGTCAGGCTGCGAACCAAAGGATGTGAGGTTCAATTCCCAGTCAAGGGCACATACCTGGGCTGCAGGTTCGCTCCCGACCCTCGTCGGGGGAGTGCAGGAGACAACCAGTCGATGTGTTTCTCTCACATTGATGTTTCTCTTTCTCTCTCTTTCCCCCTCCCTCCCTCCCTTCAACTCTCTCTAAGAAAAAAAAAAAATCAATGGAAAAAAAATATCCCTGGGTGAGGATTAACAACAACAACAACAAAAACAAAAGTTTATTTCTTCTTATTGCTATATAATAAAAGCATTATAATTATGAATGAGATATTTATATAACCAATGACAATGTTAAAATATCATAAATTCTACTATAACTGTCTAATTTTTGTTCAGAAAGGTTTACCAGTCAGCTATTAAACATTCATATAACAACTTGCTAGACTTTGCTGGTAAAACTTCAAAAAATCTGAATTTATTGCTATTTGATTATCTGCTACCTTTCACTATATAATGGTATGAATCCAACCATATATATTTTATTATATTTTTGGCTATTAAGATTCTCCCTGATTCATTTGCACAACTATATTCAAAAATAGTGATTTGTACACTCAAAGGTCAAAGTATTTTTTTCCAAAGAGTAATCATCTAAAATTTCTGAGTACACAGACCGATGGTCTTCCCACTTTATTCTGATATAATCAGAGTGGACAGGCTTCCCTAGGAAGAGCCTCTTTATTAAATTAAAACATACCACATACCATTCTCGGAGGAATAAATTCTATTTGGGCAGAAATATTAGTCTCACTCAAGTCATCTCACAACAAAGAGAACAAACGGGTCTATTGTATATACGATAATTACATTTTATATGACTTCCTTCAATTAAAGTATTTATTTAAATTAGCATCTGTATAGCAGTAGAGAAATTTTAAATGTCATTATCTAATATGACCACACGATGCTTTCCATTGACAAGAAATTAGTCTGAAAAAGATTTCATATATTTTTTTTTTTCCTGTTGGTAGATAAGTAGGTCTGAAATTTGTTTTACAAATAAGACCTGTTCTATCTACCTTTTCATTTAAAAGGCTAAAAGCAAATTTCATATATTTCAAAGCGATTATTGGCATAAGGCCCTCCCCCTCAGTAGCATTATTCAGTATAGCAAGGAAAATGTATAAGTATGGGTCAACCTCACTTAATTCTGAATATACTTGATACACACACACACACACACATATAGATGCATTTATACAGAAATATATATAGCGTTGGTGGTATAGTGGTGAGCATAGCTGCCTTCCAGAAATATATATAAAGAAACATATACATACAGAATGAATAAATATATACAGAAATATACATACGTATATTCATTCATCTACCAGGATTTGAATACTTTGAACCTCCAAAGAAGGACTGGGCATGCTTTGATCATATTTGCCATTCACTAAATACCTAATAATCTTGGCTAAACTAATGTCTAGTAAACAATCAGAAGGAAAAGATTTTTAGTAACTTCACTAACTAGTGCTGATTGATATCAACATCTCAGATGTTCTTCTCACTAGACAGGCAGATATAGCCTTCACATTATCAATTAATCACTAGGTTAAACATGACCAAATGGGAAGGAGGGGAAAGAACCATATTATTACTATAAAACATTACAATCTCTGCATAATATGCCACCTATGGCTTATTCTGTCCACACTGGAAAATCTCTCTAACACATACTAAAGAATCACTGCACAAAATACTACAATAATCAGTGTTCAGGTTCATTAAGATCTTGAAGTCTAACTCTTCAAATGTTTTCTACTTCAGAAAATTCTGGTCTTAAAATCTTACACTTAAAAGCTGTGATACATTTATACAATGGAATACTATGCAGCTCTATGAAAGAAAGATCTTTTACCCTTTGAGACAACATGGAGGAACCTGGAGAGTATTATGCTAAGCAAAATAAGGCAGTCAGAGAAAAACAAGTACCAAATGATACCACTTATTTATGGAACATAATGAACAAAATAAGCTGTCGGCCAAAAGAGAGCCAGAGTCATGGAAGTAGGGAACAGACTAACAAACCTCAGAGGGATGGAGGATGGGAGGGGTGGGAATAAACCAAAGCACTTGTATGCATATATGCACAACTAATGGTGACAGACATTAGGATGCGGAAAGCAGGAAGGGGATAAAAATGGGAAGGAGGGGCTCAATGGGGAAAAGGGGACATCTGTAATACTTTCAACAATAAATAAATAAAATCTTACACTTGATGGGGCAGGGTAATAAGGAAAGAATTATAAGAGAAACTCTTAAGTTAATTTATTAAAGTCTGAAGTGTGTGGGGGAGAAACATCTGTAACAAAAATTAATTAATTAAAAAATAAATAAATAAAGTTTGTAGTGTTAATACCCACACGCGCACGCGCGCACGCAAGCATTACAAAAAACGAGGCTAAAAAAACAGGGCTAAAAAACGGATTAACTGACCAATGAGTTGAAAAGTGCAATTTATACTGAAGATTTCCTTCCCTTTCAGGTGACAGTTCTGGTGTTAAAATGTGGTCACCTCTGCACAGACTCACTAATCTCTCTTCAAAGAGTTGAAAGTACACTAAAACCATTTTCACTGTCCTGCTTGTTTGGAATTTACCGCAAATAATAGACTGCGAGGAAAAGCTTTTGTTTTGTTTTGGTTTGGTTTTTTAAGAGGAAAAAAAGAAGGAACAAGGTATTTGATTAAATACTAATTTTTACCTTTCCTCCTCAAGATAAATTTGTGATATTATTTTTGGCTCCTTTCAACATAATTTGTTTTTGCCTTTAAAAGACAGGCATTATAGACTTCCGGTCAAGAGGGCGGCGTAGGTAAATGTGGTATCGCGTCCTCCCACAACCACATCAAAGTTACAACTAAACTACAGAACAACCATCATTCAAAACCACCTGAAATCAGCTGAATGGAAGTCCTACAACTACGGAAGTAAAGAAGAAGCTGCATTGAGACTGGAAGGAGGGCGGAGGTGCGACAGGCTGGTCCCACACCCACATGTGGCAGATAAAAATCAGGAGGACACCTCGGCTGGGAAGGTCCTCCCTGAGGACTGACGGGTCCCCGTCCCACACCAGGGGCCCCGTTCAGGGTCCCAGGGCCAGGAAGAGAATCCCCATAACTTCTGGCTGGAAAAACCAGCGGGAACTGAGGCTCAGGGAGGCTGAGGTGGCTGGAGCCCCAGGCAGCTCCTTAAAGGGCCGGCGCATGGACTTATCGGACTTGCTCCCTCTAAGCTTGGAGGGGAGGCAGCTCCAGGGGCACCAGAGACATACAGGGAAGAACTGAGCTGTTTGACATTGGAGCGAGGGCTGGAGAGGGGGCTTTCTTCAGGACAAATGTGCTGTCGGAGGCCTTTGTTCCTTTGGTGAGCCCTGCCCTGCAGCGGCAGACAGAAGCCATATCTGGGACTCCAGCAACCTGGCTCACACTGGTAGCCCCGCCCCGGTGATTCCCTGAGGCCGCCCCAAGCTATTGCTAGTTGCTTCACCATAGGATTGGCCTGTGTTGGATCCTGCTTCAGGTTTTCCTAAATTCTTTCAAACAAGCAGCATCTGGTCTCAGATAGCCCCATACCTCTTGTTAAGTAATACACAGAAACAAACACAGGGAGGCAGCCAAAATGAGGAGACAAAGAAACAGGTCCCAAATGAGAGAACAGAACAAAACCCCAAGAAAAGAACTAGGGAAATGGAGATAAGCAACCTCACAGATGCTGAATTCAAAATACTGCTTATAAGGATGCTCAATGAACTTAGTGAGAACCTCAGTGAACTTAGGGAGGGCCTCAAGAGCACAAAAAAGGACGAGTCAGAAATGATGGATGCACAGTCAGAAGTGAAGGAGGCACTAACTGAAATAAAGATTAATTTACACAGATTCAACAGTAGAGTAGATAAAGTCAAGAAGCAAACCATTGATTTGGAATATAAGGAAGCAAAAAACACCCAATCAGAACAGCAAAAAGAAAAAAGATTCCCAAAAAGTGAGGATAGTGTAAGGAGCCTCTGGGACAACTTCAAGCGTGCCAAGACTCGCATCTTGGGGGTGCCAGAAGGAGAGGAGAGGGAACAAGAAATTGAAAAACCTGTGTGAAACAATAATGGCAGAAAACTTCCCTAACTTGGTGAAGGAAACAGACATACACGTCCAGGAAGCACAGAGAGTCCCAAACAAGATGAACCCCGAGAGGCCCACACCAAGACACATCGTCATCAAAATGCAAAAGGTTCAAGACAAAGAGAGAATCTTAAAAGCAGCAAGAGAAAAACAGTTAGTTACCTACAAGGGAGTCCCCATAAGGCTGTCAGCTGATTTCTCAAAAGAAACTTTGCAGGCCAGAAAGGAGTGGCAAGAAATATTCAGAGTGATGAAAACCAAGAACCTACAACCAAGATTACTCTATCCTGCAAAGCTGTCATTTAGAATCGATGGCCATATAAAGACTTTCCCAGACAAGAAAAAGTTAAAGGAGTTCATCACCACCAAACTGTTATTATATGAAATGATGAAGGGTCTTTTTGAAGAAAAAGATAAAATATATGAACAAACAAATTGGCAATGAATACATATCTATCGACAATGGAATCTACAAACAAAATGAACAGGCAGAACAGAAACATTCTCATAGATACAGAGAACATTTTGTTGGTTGCCAGATGGGAGGGGGGTTGGGGGAATGGGTGAAAAAGGTGAAGGGATTAAGAAGTACAAATTCATTGTTAGACTGACAAAACTCAAAGGGAAAGGGGTTGGGGAGTGGGAAGAAATAAACCAAAGAACTTATATGCATAACCAATGGACACAGACAATAGTGTGGGAAAAGGTGGGAGGGGGCGGGAGTGGGGCAGAGGGGGTCAATGGGGGGAAAATGAGGAACATCTGTAATACATTGAACAATAAAGATTAAAAAAAAAAAAAGACAGGCATTATACTTTGAGTAGTCAATCTTTTTTGAATCACATATCTAATCTGACCTTTTACTAGAAAAAGGCATTTGTGTACACATTGTGCAAATAACTTACAAATATACATAGTGAAAATGTAAAGAAATACAAGGGAAATATAAAAAACTAATTCAGCAAGATGGTTAATTATGGTGGATTGAAAAGAGGTTAAAATTGAGAGGTAATTCACAGAAGGCTTAAATTATATTGGTAATGATTTGTGAAACTTCATAAAAGCCTTTTATTCTTTAAACCTTTCTGTATGCTATATTGTTTTAATTTTGCTCATTTTTCTAAAACTTTATAAAAACCTTACTGCTCAATAGAGAACCTGGGGTTCCAAATCAGTAGCCAAGGACTGAACGTGGCCAAGACCTGTTTTGTTTATACAACACAATGTTTTGTTTTGCATTTTAACTGTCATTTGAATGCCCTCAGGCAGGGGTATGCACTCCTCAATTAGCCAGAGTCACCACCATTTTCCTTATAGTAAATGAGTTCTTTAAAAGCAAAAGAAATTGGAATCCTCACACACTGATGGTGGGAATATAAAATGGTGCAGCTGCTTTGGGAAAAAAAAGGGCTATGCTCAAAATGTTAATCACAGGCCTGGCTGGTTTCACTCAGCAGTTAGAGTGTCAACCAGTCAAGGGCACATGCCTGGGTTGGAGGTTCAATCCCCCCCCGCCCCCAGGATCTTGCAAGAGGCAACCAATCGAAGTGTCTCTCTTACATTGATATTTCTCTTTCTCTCTCTCTATCTCTCCCCGCCCTCCCTCCCTCCCTTCCACTAGATAGATAGATAGATAGATAGATAGATAGATAGATAGATAGATATAGATAGATATCTATATAGAGAGATATATCTCCTCAGGTGAGGATTAACAACAACGACGAAATATTAAACATAGAGTTACCATAAGACACAGCAATTCCACTCCTAGATATGTACCTAAGAGAAAAGACCCAGCCGGTATGGCTCAGTGGTTGAGCATCTACCCATGCACAAAGAGGTCGCAAGTTTGATTCCTGGTCAGGGCACATGCCCAGGTTGTGGGCCAGATCCTCAGTGGATGGCATGCAGGAGGCGGCCAATCAATGTTCTCTCTCATCAATGTTTCTATCTCTCTTTCCCTC